AAAAAAAAAAAAAAAAAGAAAATCACCTGCTCATTATTGAAATCCAACGTTTCCTACAACGGCAGCTGTGGTCACCCAGTGGGTGCTAGCACTGGGCCACATGGAGACTCCATGCACCGTGGGCCCCGGTCCTCATTTCCCAGATGACCTCTGAGGCTGAGGCGTTAAGTGACTTACCTAAGGTCACACAACTAGTAAGTGGATGTGGTAGGTGAAAATTTGGGCCGTGGAAAGAAATCTTTATCAAATCCGTGGAACCTGAGAATATGACCTTATCCGGGAAAAAGGTCTTTGCAGGTGCAATTAAATTTAGGACCTTGAGAAGAGGGGCTCATCCTGGACTACCCAGGCGGACGTTCGGTGCAATCACATGCATCCCTCTAAGGCAGACGTGAAGATGAGAAGTCAGAGGGGAGAAGGTCGCGTGAAGACAGAGGCAAAGCAGAGCAGAGCGTGACGTGGCCACCAGCCCTGGATTGCCCAGGACTGCCGACTGCCTTTATGGGCTGGACAGGCAGGGAAGGGATTCTCCCTCTGCAGGGAGCACGGCCCTGCCCACACCTTGATTTTGAACTTCCGGCCTCCAGAACGGTGAGAGAATACGCTTCTTGTTTTACGCCACCACATTTGTGGTCATGGTTACGGCAGCCCTGGGAAACGCACGAGGAGGATGAGCTGGGATTCGAACCCAGGAATGCTTGACTGCTCAGCCCTTGCCGTTAACCCCAATACCACAGGCCCTTCTACTTCAGACGCCCTGCTGCTTGCTGCATTTCTAAGGCAAGCAATTCCCTCTTTCCAGGTGAGCTTCTAACATTTTGCTTTTCATTATAAAGTGAGAGTCCTGACACTGCTCTGCGTCTGTCACCTGCCACCCGCTATGGTGTAGGCTCTACCCACTTCCCATGGACCACGTTCCATCCTGCCCTGCTGCACCGACGAAGCATTGTCTTCATGTCACCTGTGGGAAAGGGCTTGGCCTGCCATCTGCAGGAGGAAGGGCTGCAGAAGGACCTCCTTCCTAACCCTCCATCAGCCATGATCCCTCAGCTCAGGTTGTCCAGGTTCTCACCTGGAGCACATCTTGTAATTAATCCACCCAGGTGGTCCCGCTCTCTGAGGCTGTGGACGGGGTGCTCTGCAGACAGATGCCCCCAGAACTGCCTCAGGAGAAAGCCCCAGCTGCCTGTGCCCATCTGCAGATGCTCGGCCGGTCTTGCACTGCCCGGAAGCCTGGAGACTAAGGATGCCAGCTTCTCCTTTGTGCATCTGATTTATAAGCAACGTCAGAGTGCCCTCTGTCAAAAGGCCAAATCACCTGAACTGCAGGCCTTCTACACATTCAGTTCTCTCAATGACCTTAGCAGGCAGGTACTATTATTTCCATTTTATAGACAAGTCAACTGAGGCTTGCAGAGGTGAGGCAGTAAGGGGCAGAGCTGGGCTTCGAACCAAGCAGTCTGGCTCCAGCGTCCACACACTCAGCGTCTCTGAGAGCCATGGGCTGCCATCCACGCCTGCTCCCATCCCATTGTCTGCTTTGATGTGGAGAAATCACGCACATCTGACCTCACACCATGCGTGATTTCAGATCACCCGTGGTGGAAGTAACTTCAACACTCATCTTCCAGCGCATTGCCTGTCTTGAACGCCATGTGGGCTAAGCCACTGGGGCACAGTTCGCCAAGGTCATCCTTTACTGAGTCACTGTCTCAGAAGACCAGGTCGAGACTTCCACCTGAACACAGGGGGGTGGAAGAGTCCCCGAGCCACTGAGAATGTCTCACTCCTCACTTCTCAGGGTAGTCACTTTCGCATTTCGCAAATGACTTTTTGGAGAAAGGGAAACTGAGGCCAGTGTCTCTGCACAGCTCATCTTCCCACTCTGGACGCCTCCTCGTAAAAGCAGGAACCCTTCCTCTGGCCCCAGTGCTGGGCTCCTCCGGGTGCCTTCTGTTCAGTGTGCTAAAATCCTCTGGGTGTCAACGCATCTGCCCACGTGCTCAGCACAGGAAGTGATTACCCAAATTACCAGTTGAGTTTCAAAGACAGACTCTTTTCTTCATCCACTTCAAAAATAGGAGCATGCATCTGGCCACAGAAAAGCCATCCGGTTGAAATGGATAGGGAGGATAACGTACGGAGTGTTTTTTTCATAAAGGCTGCAGAGAAGGCTAAGCCTGATGGCTCTTATCAAGGCCAGAAGCCCACAGAGCACCTTTACATGAGTTAGAAAAAGATGCGTTTTCCTCTGGGAAGATGCTTGTCCCGCACTGAGTGAAAAGAGTATCAGCTGATGGTAGCTTCTCATCTGGTTGGCCTTGTGCAGTGAACAACCTATACAACTGTTCATGGAAGCCATGCTTACTAGTTCCACCTAATAGTAAAGGAATCTTGGATAAGCACATAAAAGAGCACAAGGTACCAATTTGTTGTCAGGGGTGCTTTTTGTCCAATGGAGTTGAAATTCACATAACATAAATTAACCATTTTAAAGTGAACAATCCAGTGGCATTTAGTGTATTCACAAAGTTGTGACAGCCATCTGAGGGCCCACGAGTCAATCTAGTTTAGGTTAGCCTTTCACTCTGAACACCCAGTCTGTGCTGAGCATACAACTTCAGTGATGGAGAAGGGTGTGCACGGGAGGGGGTGTGTGCATGAGAGAGCGGTGTGTGCATGAGGGGAGGTGTGTGCACGGGAGGGGGTGTGTGCATGAGAGAGGGGTGTGTGCATGAGAG